GCATTTTAAAAATCTGAATCTAGTTTTTGCTGAGTTGGAAATGAGATTTTTGAAGTATTTTTTTCAGGCTGTTTTGCATGTTCTGTCATTTCAAATACATGTTCTGTCAGCCAGGGAGGCTGGCTTGGGCTGCAGTACAAGTCAGCCTGATCCTGTGAAGATGCTTCAGATTTGAAGTACCACCAAAACTCTAATGTTACTATTCATAGTTCATAGGGTTAGGTCATTATAGCCTTACAGCACTCATTAATACAAAACAGAGCCAAGTTAGTAAAGCCATTTTTCTGAACTTTGCCTAACGTTAAAATTTGCAGCTTGCATTTCTATAACTGGCAACCATTGTTGCTTCTACTACAGCCCCAAACTAATATTTAAGAATGGATCAATGCTGACAAGTTATAGCATACAACTTAAATCTCTGCCTGTAATGTTAGAATTTTAAAGCCAGCTCTGCAGTACAGCTCACTTGACTACTTACCCCAGATGACTTTGCCTCCCTGGGTCACGAGGCCAAGCTCACTCACGTTCACCTCAATGACAGTGCCTTTGGTAATTACACCCAGTGTTGTATACAAAGGAGAGGAAGGATTCTTCTTTACACCAAGGATAGGTAGGCAAAAAGTAGCTTTAAGTTCAGGATGTGTCACATGTGCCTTCTTGAAACGTAAGCCCTATTTCATAAGGAACGTTCAAACATGTTAAAACTTTAAACTCTTGTTATTAATTTATTTTTTTTCATATTATGTCCTCAGCTTCATGCATTTTAAGACAGTAGAAATAACAAAAACTTAGAAGATAAAGTGTTACCTGTGACACAATGCTAGACTTGTTAAAACCTGATCGATGACAAGGTGAGATAAAACTCTTTACGTATATTTTCAGGATGCCTATTTTTACTAGTAGAATAAGAAGAATGCTAGCTACCATAGATGGATTCTGACCATGAAGAAACAGTAAAGCATTTTACAGTCTTACTGGTTTTCAGACTTGAGATTTTCTTCTTGTAAATCTGAAAAATCTTTCACAAACCATATCAAACACCTATCTCTTACAGCACTTTTCCTTTAGTGACTTGGAGGCCTTTTGCAAAGGAGGCTTTACCATAACCCTCTCTGTGTCAGCAGAATTCTACCGAAGGCCTCTGTGTGAGATAACTCCCAAACTAAGAATGGAGAATAACCCCATGGGCAACAACTGCTTTTGCCTTTTCCTGTGTGGAAACAGGAGTGGCTGTTTATAGCAAGAGATGCTGTCCTGGAGAGTTCAACCTAATTTCCTGGGCACTACCAAGCAGTCAAAGCTCAGCTGAGGCCAAAAAGCAAAGAGATATTTCAGTGCAGAGAGAGGGCTATGGCTGCAGGGGAACACCCCTGGCCCCAAGCTATTCCAAGTTCAGATTTCTTCAAACATACATTAGTTTAACCAAGCATGTTATAGTAAAAAGAAGTCTCCTTGCCCCTGGATACAGAGCAGTAAGTAAAGAATTTCATAAACATTCTTTAAGTCTCAAGAACATTACCATTGGTCGAATGAATCGCTCATATTTAGGAGGTTTCCTAGTAAAGCCATCTCCAACAAAGCAAACTTTTGTAACCATTCTCTTCCAGGCCTTCTTCTTTCTCTTTCCTGTACGGATCACTTTTAAAACTTCTGTTTCTCCTTGTGCACGGACTTTTGGCACAGGAACCTCCCATTTCCCCTAGAGGGAAGGAGAAGGGGAGGGAAAAAAAACAGCAGTAAGTAGTCTTGTATGCATGTAGCACTGGTAAATGGAAAGGGACAAAGAATAAAATACAATTTAACTAAAGCAAAGTGGCTTTAGTGTTTAGGTGTTTTAGTGTTTAGTTGCTTTATGATAAGGTATTTCATATGCTTCCTTTGCCCTAAATGACTAAATTTAAGTTTTGTACGCTATCAATATTTAGACATTGCTTGCAGGCTGTGAATCACCTGAGCATCAACAATTCAAAGTGGTCATCAGCACAAGCAACAGTAAGTACCCACATTTATTAATAGTTACTTACAGCTTTTTCTTTTCTCTTCTGTTTGATCATGTTAGAGAGCACTTTAGCTCGGGACTGGCCCTCTCTGTCCAGCAGGTAGGCTGGTACGGCTCCTTTAGGTGTTTTCTCGTCATTCTTTTCCTTTGTATTTCTCTTTTCGTGCATTTTAATGCTGCAAGAAAAGAAAGACTTTTAAAAATCCCACTCAGTATTGACAGCAGAAAAAAGTACTTTCATGGATGAAAAGTATGAAAAACTGTCCTTTCACCTTAAACCTGTGCATATCAGAGCTTATTTTGAAGAAACGCATTTGTTAACAAATCAAAGTAGTACCTGTTTATACTTAAAAATAGGAGTATGTAATACATGCTAAGAAGTTACTGAATAGCTTAAAACAAGCACAGTAACTCTCAAAGCCAAGCACACTGGGAGTTGATAGCTGCCTTTTGTTAACCAAAGCTGTAACTATTTTTAATTTTTAATTGCAAGTCCTGAACACGAGAGAAACTTCTGAGGAAAAATGCTTTTCTTTAAGCTCTATAGGGCAGCTTACACTGGAGGACGAGCTCAGTGCTCAGATTTGTGTTTCTGTCACAGCTGCATTTCAGGAAT